ATAGGAAATCATTGCCACATATGAATCATGAAATATTTAATTCACCATCAAATATATCGAAGGAAATAGGAAATCATTGCCGCATATTAATCATGAAATATTTCATTCCCTATCAAATATATTGAAGGAAAATTTAATTCGTTTCATCATAGAAACTGTGGTGATGTTTGCTCGCATGACTTTTTTTTTGTCTTTCGGTCTTGTATATTTGTATATTTGAACTTTTTGTATTTAATCAAGTTTTTTAAAAAAAAAATATATAATTTTTTTTAAAAAGGAAAATGGACATACGTGCGATATTGACCCGAAAATCACGTCCAACTGACCTCGCCGTGTTCAATATTGACCCCAAATCACATCCAACCGACCTCGCCGTGTTCAATATTGACCCCAAAATCACGTCCAACCGACTTCGCCGTGTTCAATATTTTGTTTTAATAAAACGTTTAAAAACAACTTTTTAATAGCTGAGCCAACCAAAAAGAGCTCTCTGCATTTAAGCCATTTGGAAGAGTGTTTGCAGCCTCGTCCGTGTTTGTCCTCTCCTTCCGGTGGGTTTCCGTAGTAGAGGCAGAATGCAGGTTTTACCCCAAGGATTTTCTCTTCTGACCATTCTTGGCAAGGATGGTTTTTGTTTTTTTCTCTTCTCCTCCCTCCCCTCCCCTCCTCTTCCCACTCATGGTTTCACTTCTTCGTGGCCGCCCTGGGAGGGGGAGGACGACAAGGTCATTGCGCAACGACCAGGTGATGGGTTATTCCAAGACGGGGAGGGGGCAATGATAAGGCAGCACGTTGACTTCGATGGGATTTCCTCCCAACGAAGGGGGGGGTCCTGAAGCAATTTCGGCCCCTCCCCCCCCCAAAACACACCTGGGCCCGTTTTCATTCATCCAGCTTTGATTGGAAGGTTTTTGTTTGCAGGTTCAAACAAGCGAATAATAAAAAAAACGCCTCATGGGGGGTTGCAGTGCCCTGGGGGAAGGAGGGAGGGGAATCAATTTAAGGGGGGGGGGGGGGGGGAAGCCCCCCCCCGGGGGGGAAAGGGGGCCCAAAAGGCAGGGAGGGGAAGGGAAAGGGGGGGAGGGAGAAGTGCAGTGGCAGAAATGGAGGTTCAACCTGCCATCTGCCTCCATCCTTTGGGGTGATCCGGGTGGGACCCCTCTCCGGACCTCCAGAGGCCCCTCCCAGGGAGAGATTCGGTCCTGCTGCTGGTCGGGATTGAGGGCCAGAGAAGGAAGCACCTCCCCCGCCCCCCCCCCCAAAAAGTGGCTTTTGGGGGAGGGGGGGGGAAACCCTGGCCCCCGGGGGGGGGGGGGGGTCGTCTTCCCAGCGAGGGCTTCTGCGTCATGCCGATCCATGGATGGGGGGAGGGGAAGGAGGGTATCCTGCTTCAGTCTACGAAGGAAGAGAAGAAGGGCGAATTCAACGGCCCAAAGCGGGGTCCTTCCTGCCCTGCCCCCCCCCCCCAGGCAGAAGGACGCCGCCCCCCCCCCCGTCCCCCCCCCCACAAACCTGCCCCTCAGCATGCCAGCGAGCCAAGCCCGAGGGGAGGCGGGGGGGGGGGGGGAGGGCGGCCGGGGGCCCCCCCGCCCCCGATGTGCCCCCCCCGGCCCCCCCCCCGCCTACCTGCACTCCGGGCCCTGCAGGAGTGGGCCAGCAGGATGACCCCCACGATGGCGAAGACCCCTCCCACCGCCACCGCAAGGCCGCAGAGGATGTTCTCCAGGAGCTTGGAGTCCACGGGGTCCCTGGGGACTGCAAGAGAAGCAGAAGGGAGGGGTCATGGGGGGGGGGGAAAGGAGGGTCTCTGGTGGCCGCCCGGGAGGGGAGGCAGGTGTGTATGTGTGCGTGTGTGTGTGTGTGTGTGTGTGGTGTGTCTCACCCCAGTAGGCTAGGCTGTCGGTCTTGCCCTTGACGGTGCAGCTGTAGATGTCCCCTGCCTGGGGGGTCACCTCCACGTAGGAGAAGATCTGGAAATCCAGCCCTTCGACGGGGAAGACCGGGGTGGAGGAGACACCCTGGGTGAGCGGCCGGCCGTGGAAGGCCCACTCGATCCTGGCCACGGGAGGGAAGATGTTCCTCGCCGAGCAGACCAGGACGTTGGGCTGGCCCAGGACCAGCGGACGGAGGGTGAAGACTTCCACTTGGGGGATCCCTGCGGGGGGGGGGGGGGAGACGGCCGAGTCAGTTCCCGGGATGGGCTCAGGTCAAACCCGGGTCAGGAAGAGTGGGAGAGACTCCGCCACCTGCCTCACCCGGGCTTTGAAAGCACAACACATTGCCTGCTTGAGCAGGGAGGGGGTGGACTTGAAGATCTCTTAAGATCCCTTCCAACTCTGTTGTTCTTTTTAAAAATTTTTTTATTATTTTTATTAAAGAGTTCTCATTTTATAACACCGTTTTTGTTCTTTGCAACTGTTCGGTATCGGTATACATATGTTTTGCGTACATTTGTATTATACAATCATACATACATACATGTTCTGTCTCACCTTTTCTTCTTTCTCAAAAGACGAAAGAGTACAAACTCACACAAACGCAAGCAGGCAAGCTGGCTGGGACTTCACAGAGTTAATTCTTTATAACTGATAACGTCCTTGGCATTCCAACACGCTCTGCCTGCCAAGTCCAAACTGATAACAAGTGAAAAGCTACTTACAGAAAATTACAAGGCAGACCACAAAAATCATTCCCAAAGAAAACCTGAAGTAAGATTAAACTTTGTCCCCTACAAAGTTCCAGCCGACAACACACCCACTTTTATCCCCTGTGGGGTGTGGCTCAATGACTCAGCTCACTCTCTGACCCTCCCACGCCTCCTACGTTGCTGCTCACGTTTCTCCCTACGACGCTAAATGTAGTTAAGGTATCCTGGGAAATGTAGTCCGTGTCACGTGGTCACATCTGTAATCCTGATCGGTCACTAAATGGACCCCTATTGGGTTGGGGGAGACTCCCTCACTTTTGCCTGAAGCCGCCATACCATGCAGTCGCTTCAATCATCATGGGGTTGAGACCTTTTTTTATCTTTCTACACTACAAGGATTGGACGTTAAGAAGAACTTCGTCGTAAATGTGAGTTGACAGGATACCTGATGAACCAATAAAAAAAAAAGACTTTGTGCGGATGCTTTGTGGAGTTGATCTGTCTGCTTCATGCCAGCCAAATATTAATATGCAGAACAGTAGACTATATATCTTTATATCTACTCTTTATCCAATTGTATCATGCGTTCCCAATCAATTGATATTCAGTTTATCTTTTATTTCCATTGTCAGCCTATCCATCTCGGCACACTCTCACACCTTCTTTATCACACGTTCCTCGGACAGTATAGTACCATTTTTCCAGTTTTGTACATAGACAATTCTAGCTGCTGTTATTAAATTTAGCATTAGATATTGTGTTTTTGTCCTATTTTCCTGTTATTATGCCTAATAAGAATATCTCCAGTATTAACTCTATTTGTTGTTTAGTTATTTCCTCAATCCACCCGCTTAGCCTCATCCAATATATTTTGGGGGGGGCCACTGGGCAAAATAACTCTTGTTTTATTCACACTTCCTCCCACTTGTACCTAGGGCCTCAGGATGTCCAGCAAGTCCTGACCCACTCAAGGGGGTCAAAGGGTCTCAGTCAGTGGGCTTTCCTCCCCAGAGAGATTTGACCGCCATCAATTTCCTTTTAATGGGCGTTGATTGCATCGTAATTGGCCGGGATGATGAATGACACCTTGCAGGCTGCCCAGTTGACTGTAAAATGACCTTTAGCGGTGCCGAGTTGTGGATGAACAAAAGGAACACAATAATGGAAGAAGCCGTAAATCAGGAGTAGCCAACCTCTTAAAAGTCACTTTTTAAGACTGGTGGACTTCAACTCCCAGAATTCCCGAGCTAACGTGACTGGAGGAGGAATTCTGGGAGTTGGAAGTCCACCAGTCTTAAAAGTGGCCAAGGTTAATTATGGAAAGCTTATAATTGTTCCCATAGAAGTATGATATTTAATTGAAAAGTAATGTTAAAGAAGTTAAGATTTTAATGAATATTAATATTAATGATAGAATTGAATTGGAATGGAATGGGTTGTTTTAATTACATATATTTATAATTTTTTTCTTTTTTTAAGAACATAGTGTGTATTTTAAGAACGTACCAAGCAGAATCCGAATGGAAGTTATGTATTATATTGAATGTTATAACTTTAGAGTATATATTGAAGCCTAAATAAGAGTTAAATGGATAAACTTAAAAGATATAAAGGCGTCATACTCCAATCAGTAACTACAGGAGAAACTTTGTTTAACGAGAAAAGATAATAGATAATTGAAACAGGACAGACAAAAAAAAATATAAATATAATGATTTGAATTGAGACGAGATAATTAAAATAAAATTGAGAAAATTAAAAGAGGGGAGAAGCTATGCAGAAAATGTAAAACAATAATAAGATATGGAATAGAACATAAAAATGAGCATGAAATAGAATTTGTGTCTGTACGAAGAAATGTAATCCGGGATTGCGCTACTTTCAAAAAAGATGTTTTATTTGTATTTTTTTTTGTGAAAACTCAAATAAAATTTACAAAAAAAAAAAAATGTGGCCAAGGTTGGCTACTCCTACATTAAATAATTCACCCCTGGAACTTTTTTGGACAGCTGGCTGGGCGATGGACTGGACCGAGAGGAAGATCTAATGCATTTTAACAGATTAATAGAGTTGGAAGGGACCTTGTTAGGTCATGTAGTCCAACCCCTTCTCCCACCCACCCCTGCCCCGCCTCCCAGCGCCTCACCTCTGGCCTCGGGGAACTGGATGGAAATGTACTTGTCTGAAAAGTCGGTGAGGAAGGGCAGCACCGCGTCGCAGATTTTCTTCTGGGCCTCGATCTGCGCTTCGGAAAGCTGCGTCTCTGGCTGGAAGTCGGGCCGGCGGGAGCGCCAGCGGGCGCCCGGGAAGTCGTACCAGAAGAGCAGGTCGTTGTCCAGCGTCCGAGCCAGGCCGTAAAGCGGGGCGTCCTTTTGGCAAAAGAACACCTCGGAGGAGAGGTGGGCGGGCTGCTCTGGAGGGGAGGAGAGGGGGAAAAAGAGGGGGAGGAGAAGGAGGCGGGCGGAGACCCCCCACCCACCCACACGGCAGTCTGGACCCCGAGGCAGCGTGGGGAGCGTCGTGCAGTTCCCGCCAAGGGGCTCACGGGAAGCAGCCCCCCCACCCCAGTGACCAGGTCATGCGAGACCCCACGGATCTCTGTGAGTCTTTAACTGCAGGGATCTTCCAACTTGACCGCTTTAAGGCCTGTGGACTTCAACTCCCAGAATTCCTCCTCCGGTCACGTTATTTCGGGAATTCTGGGAGTCGAAGTCCACAAGCCTTAAAGCGGTCGAGTTGGAAGATCCTTGCTTAAGAATAAAATAATAGAAGAAGCCGTAAGTAAATCAGGAGTATCCAAACTTGGCCACTTTAAGACCTGTGGACTCCAACTCCCAGAATTCCTCCTCCGATCGTTAGCTCGGGAATTCTGGGAGTTGAAGTCCACAAGTCTTAAAGTGGCCAAGTTTGGTTTTTTTTTTTTAACTGTAGGCCAGGGTATGTTTTCTTAACAATCAACACAGAACCCGCAACCCCCCCCCTTCCTCTGGCCCAATGGGAGGCCAGGCCCTGGAGACGGGCCCAATTCCAGGAAGTTGGGGCGTTTGGGGCTCCCAGAACGGCGCTGCCAGGTGCTTCCCCCCCCCAATGGGTAGGGGGAGCGGTGGCTGCAATTTGGGAAGTTCCAAAGGCCCTGAAATTGGGGTTGGGGAGGGGGAAGGCCTGTCTGGGACTGTGCAGTTAGCCTTAAACACCCACGCTACACCGCAATTATTCTCGCTTTCCTTCCTTCCTTCGCTCATTTCCCCTCCCTCCCCCTTTCCTTCCTTCGCTCGTTTCCCCTCCCTCCCCCTTTCCTTCCTTCGCTCGTTTCCCCTCCCTCCCCCTTTCCTTCCTTCGCTCATTTCCCCACCCTCCCCCTTCCTTTCTCAGCTGCTGGGGGGGGGGAACAAGACCTATTTCTGGCGGGTGCACTGACTGGCTGCGTTCACACAGCCATCTTCCCCCGCCTTCCTTCTGGCTGGGCAGGTCAGCCGGAACCTAACGGGCACCTGCTCGCCCTCTCGCTCCTCCGCAGTTCACTTGACAGGGCGCTGAGTCCCTTCCCCTCCCCCCCCCCCCCCCCCGGCGGGGGTCCTCGCCAACCCCGATAGCTTGGGGTCGGGGGGGGCAAGGTCTCGTGGGAAGGCAGCCGGAGCGCCTGCCAAACGTTGCCCGGGCGCCAGAGCGAGCCTCCAAGCGCCGCCTTCAGACGCGACCGTCCTTGCATGCCAGCCTGAGGCTGGAGGAAGCGGAGCCCGCTTGGCTTCCTTTGCAGACGCCTCCTCACGACCCCCAAACCAGGTAAGACCTCCCCGGGGGCTGATCTTTGCTGTGACTAGCCCTCCTGGCCAGGTTTACCTGGTTTGTCGGCCAGGAAACAAAGCCGAGAGGCTCCTAAGTTCGACCCTGAGCTACGAACGTTCCCCCTTTTATTTTAACTTCTCCCTTTTCTGAAAACGAAAGTGAAACCTTGGCCCGTTCAGCAGACACGCAAAGGCGGGAAGAGGGGGGGGGGGAGCGGAGGCGTCCTCCGAAATCGGAGACCCGCCGCTTCTCCCCTCCGGTTTTAGCCGTCCGGGGCGCCACCCGCGGAAGGGAAGGCGAGGCTGCGGGCCGGGCTGGAAGAATGGCCCCGCCTAAAGAGCCGTCCCGGCCGCTTCCCCTTTCCGGCTGCGGGGAGACCGTTCGCACAACCACGAAAAGCGCCAAGGGGGCGAGGAGGTCCCGGGAGTTTTTGCCCGCCGAAGGAACGGGCGGAGGGACGGGGGGAGGAAGGAACCCGGGAAATCGGCCCCCCCTTCGGGTAACCCGGGTCAAGCGGGCGCGCGTGTGAACGCGGGTCGGCGGGACGAGGGGGAGGAAGGAACCCGGGAAATCGGCCCCCCTTCGGGTAACCCGGGTCAAGCGCGCGCGTGTGAACGCGGGTCGGCGGGACGAGGGGAGGAAGGAACCCGGGAAATCGGCCCCCCTTCGGGTAACCCGGGTCAAGCGGGCGCGCGTGTGAACGTGGGGTCGGCGGGACGGGTGGAAGAAGGAACCCGGGAAATCGGCCCCCCTTCGGGTAACCCGGGTCAAGCGCGCTTGTGTGAACGCGGGTCAAGCGCGCGTCTCCTGCTCTGGTAAATTTACCTCCAGCTGCAGCCACGGCCGCCCAGATCAAAGCCAAGGCCGGCAGCGCCCGCCGGCGGAGTCCGCCACCCATCATGGTCTCTCCCGTCCCTTCGCCCAGCGACCTTCTGCGGGGCCCGGGGAGAAGCCCGAGACGCACCTCGCCCACCGGAGCCGCCTCTTGGGGCCGGCCGGCCAATCCGCTTCCCTTGCACGCTCGCGTCACCTGTTGCCAAGGGGAAGCCCTCGAGTTTCGGCTCCCAAGTGGAGATGGCAGCGCTGGGCAACCCGGGCAGCAGGAGGGAGAGGAGGGAGTGGGGCGCCAAGGGGATCGAGACCAGAGCGAACCCCCCCTCCCGTTTTCTTTCTTTTTTTAATTTTTAATTTTTTTAAAAAAAAACATTTTATGAAACAAAACAATTAAAAATATTGAGCATGTTGTGTGTTGGTGTGTGTTTTCTTCTGGTATATGGCATGTCCTAGTGTGCCATCTGGTTTTTTGTTTTTTTTTGTAGATTAGTACATCTAGGAATGGTAGTTGTTTGTTTCCATTTCCATGGTGAACTTGATTTTGGGGTGTGTGCTGTTTAGATACAAGCAAATTGAAAGATACAAGCAAATTGAAGGAGCCCCCATGGGATCACCACTGTCACCCGTCACTGCAAACCTGTTCATGGAAGAATTCGAATCCAGAGCCCTGGCTAAGGCCACCCACAAACCCAAACTATGGTTAAGATACATCGATGACACATTCGTGATTTGGCCCCATGGAAAAGAAAACCTAAACAATTTCCTAACACACCTAAACAGCACACACCCCAAAATCAAGTTCACCATGGAAACGGAAACAAACAACTACCATTCCTAGATGTACTAATCTACAAAAAAACAGATGGCACACTAACCGTACACCAGAAGAAAACACACACCAACCGCTACCTCAACGCCCAATCCCACCACCACCCAGCACAGATAAACTCCGTGGCCAAAACACTAATCGCCAGAACCAAACGCCTGGCAGACAAGACACACATAAAGACTGAACTATGCACCCTTACTAAAGTACTGACAGCTAACGGCTTCCACAAAAGCAAAATCACCGGTTTGATCCACCAAAACACACTGAGACATAATGGAGACCTAGAAGATGAACAGACCTATGGAACAGCTGTCCTGCCCTACATAAGAGGTACTACAGACAACATCAGTAAGATACTACACAGGCATCACATCAAGACTGCCTTCAAAACAGACAGAAAAATAGCAGCCATCCTTAGAAACCCCAAAGATAACATTGACCTGGAAAACCAAGGCATATACGAAGTTCCCTGTGTATCATGCCCGGCCACATACATTGGACAGACCAATAGAAGAATAAGTACCCACCTGGATGAACACAAAAATGCAGCAAAGAAGCTGGAACACACTTCCTCACTAGTCCAACACACGAAAGCCACAGGTCATAGCATGGACTTCAATGGCACCAAAACCCTAGCCACTATAGAAAACCCCAGCCACAGAATTATCAGAGAAGCCAAGAGAGATTGAAAAAAGACCTGAAAGCATGAATAGAAGAGATGATTCCACCAGACTGTCAATCATTTGGAAGCCTGCACTCACAAACAAAAAAATCTCCACACCACAAGCCAGACAAGCACCTGGGTACAAACAGATCCCCCCTGATACCTCCAGCTCAAACACACCCCAACCAGGCACCCAGATGAAATCTAGCTTCCTAACAAATGATAGCCGTCCATTTACTCGGAGCCAAGCTGCACTAAAAGCCTCCAATACAGGAACACAATGTTGCCAGCCAATCAAGATACAAAAAAGCCACAAAACAAACAGAAGATATTAGAAACACCAATCAAGCAGAACACAGCAAACTCCAAGACCAATAACACAGACCAAGACTCTCAACCAATCAGGATGAAGAAAAAAAAACCATTCTGGCACAGCAGTAGGCTAGCCCCAAATTTAAAACGGAAACGGCTGTGAAAGTCTGACTCACAGACGTACACAGTACAGAAGCCTGATGATGGCAGATGAGATTCTGCCGAAACGTTGCTACAACTTTAAAAGCACAACTATAATGACGTGGGAAAATACCTGAACAAAGCTGAATACCATACATTATAGATAGATAGATAGATAGGAAGAATATAAATATATAGATATAGATATATAGATATATTTGCCTATAAACAAGTATTCAACTATATACATATATACATTTGTTCATTCACTGAATACATTTCTAACATCATTCGTCTTCTTTTCATCTCATCCAATCATTTACTCTTTCAACCACTCCTTTCCCAACTGAAGACCTTCCTCTCTGCTCCCACCAGTGATAGAATTTATCCCAAATTGCGTCGTATGCCAACTCGTCTTTCTTTTTCATTTCTAGAGTTAACACGTCCATTTCAGCGCATAGCAAGATTTTCTTTATTACTTCTTCTTCACTTGGTATAACTGTCTCTTTCCGGTTCAGGGCAAAGGTTCTCCTTGCTGCGGTACTAATGTGTATAATCAAATGAAGCTCATCTTTCTTATATTTTTTTGACATAATTCCATAAGAGGAAGCGTTCTGGTAGGTGATCTACTTTAAGACCCAACGTTTCCTCCAGCCACTTCCCCGTCCTAAGCCAATCCTCCTGCGCTTTTCTGGCAGCGCCACCACGGATGGGAATATCTTGCAGCCCCCCCCCCCCCATTTTGGAGAGGGGCCAGCCCCGGTGGGCGAGGGGAAGGCAAGGGACCTAGCAGGAGAAAGCTGCTCCAGGCGGTCCCAACGGAGGAGGGGGCGGAAGGGTGAGGGTTGATTGCTTGTTGTACCCTAGGATGATATCATTAAGGGTTGTTGCACCTCATGATTCTTGACGAATGCATGTTTTCTTTTTATGCACCCTGAGAGCCTTTGCACCAAGACAAATCCCTTGTGTGTCCAATCACAGTTGGCCAGTAAAGTATTCTATTCTATTCTATTCTGAATCCTATTCTATCCTATTCTTATTCCATATTCTACCCTATCCTATCCTGTTATATATTCTATTCTATATTCTAGCCTATTCTATTCTGAATCCTATTCTAGCCTACTCTGTTCTTATTCCATATTCTATCCTATCCTATCCTGTTATATATTCTATTCTATATTCTATTCTATTCTATTCTGAATCCTATTCTTATTCCATATTCTATCCTATCCTATGTTATATATTCTATTCTATATTCTATTCTATTCTGAATCCTATTGTATCCTATTCTTATTCCATATCCTATCTTATCCTATGTTATATATTATATTCTATATTCTATTCTATTCTGAATCTTATTCTATCCTATTCTACTCTTATTCCATATCCTATCCTATCCTTTGTTATATATTCTATTCTATATTCAATTCTATTCTGAATCCTATTCTATCCTATTCTTATTCCATATTCTATCCTATCCTATGTTATATATTCTATTCTATATTCTATTCTATTCTGAATCCTATTCTATCCTATTCTTATTCCATATTTTATCCTATCCTATGTTATTTATTCTATTCTATATTCT